TTTTTTTTTTTTCATATCAAAGTATATGTAAATTACAATTTTTAAACTTTTAATTTAGATATTATTTAAGTAATATTAATGGCCCAGACTACAAAACTATCTAAGTCATTTCTCAGAATTAGTAAACTTTATGTATTAATTCAAGTTTAAGTATGTATATGAGGTTACAAATTTTTTTTTTTTTTTTTTTTTTTTATATATATATAAACCTAGTGATATAATGTTTCTCATGTAAGTACAAAGGACATGGGTCATTCAAAAGCTTACATCTTATGGCATTTCATATTAATTTTATTTTACTATATTTGCTTTTTTGGGATTCTTTTTAGTGCGTGTAGTATTATTTAAAAGAAATTTAGGTTAGAATTCATTCAATTTAACTTTAATTTTAGTTTCAATTTTAAAATTACAAACTTTAAACTTTTGAAATATTTTCATTGTTAGTTATATTAGACTATATTACTTTTTATAACAGAAGGAATATTACTCATAGTAAGTAAAATTATTTTTTCAATATCCAAGTATATGTAAATTACAATTTTTAAACCTTTATATTTTAAAATATTATTTTAGTAATATTAATGGAACTTACTACAAAATTAGCCAAGTCATTTCTCGGATTTAGTAAACTTTATTTATTACTTAATTTATTTATTTATTTTAAATATATGTAACCTAAGTAGTAAAGTTTCATATGTATGTACCAAGAACAGGTTAGAATTCATTTTATTTAACTACAATTTTAATTACAATTTTAAAATTACCACATTAAAATTTTAAAATATTTTCATTGTTAGTTTTAATTGACTATATTACTTTATAACAGAAGGATAATTACTCATAGTAAGTATAATTATTTTCCATAACAAAGTATATGTAAATTACAATTTTTAAACTATTATATTTAAATATTTAAGTAATATAAATGGCACAGACTACAAAACTATCTAAGTCATTTCTCAGATTTAGTAAACTTTATGTATTAATTAATTAAATTATTTATTTTAAATATATGTAACCTGAGTAATAAAGTTTCATATGTATGTACAAAGAACAATGGGTCATACATTACCTTACATCATCTAGCTTTAGTTATAATTTCATTTTTCAGGAGGTGTTTTATCGGATTCATTCAAGTGTTTGTAGTACATTTATTATAGAGGTGTTTCGGTTAGGATACATTTTATTTAACTACAATTTTTTAAACGGTGTTTATGTTTTAATACGTTTTAACCACAATTTTAAATTTTAAATAACAGTTTAAAACATTTTTTCCTGCCATTCCAATAGACTTTTTTTTTTTTTTTTTTTTTTTTTTTTTTTATATATTATTTAAGGAAAATTTTTGACAATGACGGCATATAATAGCTATTTCATTTCTCTGATTCAGTAAATTTTATTTTTATAAACTTAGTAATATATAGTTTCTCTTGTATACATAGAGGACACGGGTCGTTTAATGATCTACAAATTCTAGCTCTTCTTATTAACTTCCATTTTACTGTAGGTGTTTTATTTGATTCTTTTAGATGCCAGAAATATTTTGAGAGAGATGTTTGATTTTTTATATTTATTTATTCTAAATGAAGTTTGATGTTGGTTGAATTTTTTTTGAATTCATGGCTAGTGCAACCTATATATATATTTTTATGTTATCAGGATTTTCAATCGAAGAGATATTGCATTGGTATACTAATGATTCAGTGCAACATTTATTTTGTAGTGGGCAATTTTGAGGGTTTCGACAATTACATAGTTTTTGTTTATTTACATCAGTTTTTATCTTAATTTTCTATTGTCTAAATTTTTTTGGTTTTTGGTATAAGTGTTTATTTAAGATATTAGCATTATGGTTCTTAATGATTTTTTCTAAGTTCTTTGTACAGCTATAACTTAATTTTAGTGTGTTTTTATTGAAAATAGTACTTAGTTTATTTTCACAAGGGAAATGCTTGACTATTAATGTGAGGAATTTATGTCCTAATCTGTTCTTTACCATTTGGTTATATGGGGAGTATACCAAATAATTTTTCTACATCTGTTTTTTTCTATGTTTTCCATTTTCATTTTTTTATATACGCTAGTTTTGGGTTTTTTGTAGCCACTATCTTTTAGAGCCTTATTATAGCCATTGATATGCTCATCAAAAATCTTGTTATTAGCTGAATTTGTACTAATTCGTTTACTTATAGATAACGGTATATGTTTAATTATAGATGGGGTGATTTGATTTAGGATGTATATATAAAGGATTGGTGTTGGTTTTTTTATAAGGTGTGTATGTATTTTTATTTAGATCTAAAGTTATATCTAGGAAGTCTACTTTTTTTAATTTAGTACTAACTGTAATTTTTAAGCCCATGCTTTTAAATTCTTTATATAATAACTTTCTAATTCTATCTATTTTGAAGTTCGTTGAGTTTCTAATGACCATTAGCCCATCGTCCCTGTACAAACCAATATCATTTGTATTAATTTCATAGTGTGCTGTAAGATTGTATAATATAAAGAGGCCAATGAGATCAGAAGACTCAGCTGAGTCTAGTGATCCCATTGTGATGTCAAATTTGTCGTAAGAATTCTTAACCCATTCCTCACCTTTATGTATAAGTACTGATTTTTTTGCTAACAGAATAATGTTCCTACTTAGGTTACATATATTTAAAATAAATAAATAAATTAGTAATAAATAAAGTTTACTAAAAAAATGACTTGGCTAATTTTGTAGTAAGTTCCATTAATATTACTAAAATAATATTTTAAAATATAAAGGTTTAAAAATTGTAATTTACATATACTCGGATATTGAAAAATAATTTTACTTACTATGAGTAATATTCCTTCTGTTATAAAGTAATATAGTCTAATATAACTAACAATGAAAATATTTCAAAAGTTTAAAGTTTGTAATTTTTAAAATTGAAACTAAAATTAAAGTTAAATTGAATGAATTCTAACCTAAATTTCTTTTAAATAATACTACACGCACTAAAAAGAATCCCAAAAAAAGCAAATATAGTAAAATAAAATTAATATGAAATGCCATAAGATGTAAGCTTTTGAATGACCCATGTCCTTTTGTACTTACATGAGAAACATTATATCACTAGGTTTATATATATATAAAAAAAAAAAAAAAAAAATTTGTAACCTCATATACATACTTAAACTTGAATTAATACATAAAGTTTACTAATTCTGAGAAATGACTTAGATAGTTTTGTAGTCTGGGCCATTAATATTACTTAAATAATATCTAAATTAAAAGTTTAAAAATTGTAATTTACATATACTTTGATATGAAATGAAAAAAAAAAAAAAAAAAAATTTTACTTACTATGAGTAATTATCCTTCTGTTATAAATATAGTCTAAATTAAAAATAACAATGAAAATATTTTAAAATTTTTAAAGTTATAATTTTAAAATTGAAATTAAAATTGTAGTAAAATAAAATGAATTCTAACATGTTATTTATACATACATATGAAACTTTATTAATTAGGTTACATATATTTGAAATAAATAAATTAATTAATTAATAAATAAATAAAGTTTACTAAATCTGAGAAATGACTTAGCTAGTTTTGTAGTAAGTGCCATTAATATTACTTAAATAATATTTAAATTTAAAAAAAAAAAAAAAAAAAAATTTATATATACTTTGATATGGAAAAATAATCTTACTTAATATGAGTAATTTTCCTTCTGTTATAAAGTAATATAGTCTATTAAAACTAAACAATGAAAATATTTTAAAATTTTAAAGTTGTAATTTTGAATTTGTAATTAAAATTGTAGTTAAATTGAATGAATTCTAACCTAAATTTCTTTTTAAATAATACTACACGCATTAAAAAAGAATCCAAAAAAAATAACACCTATAGTAAAATAAAATTAATATGAAATACCATAACATGTAAGCTTTTGAATGACCCATGTCCTCAGTACTTACATGTGAAATATTATAATAATAGGTTTATATATAAAAGAAAAGTTTACTGAATCAGTGAAATTAAGTAACCATTTCTGCTGTCATAGTCATATAAAAAAAAAAAAAAAAAAAAAAAAAATGTAACCTCATATACATACTTAAACTTAATGTTAAAATAATCCTACATAATATAATGGATTCTAATACATTTAACTGTTCTTAAAAAGAATATAGTAAAATAAAAATTAAAAAGGAAAATATTTCAAATCGTAGTTAAATAAAAAGTATTGTAAAAAAAATCTTTAATTTTAAAAGATGACGTTGAAAATTTTTTTTACAATTTTTTTTTTTTTTTTTTTTTTTTTAAATTCAGACGACATCCATTCAACCGACGTCAGGTTTCAGTGTAAAATACATCCTCACCCCTTACCAAAATGTAGCTAATAACTGATACAATGATACTGTCATAAGGAAAATCTAGACACCCCGTGTTCAATTTGAGTAGAATATTCTGTAACCATGGAAACGTGATTTTAGCTGTGTATTTAAACCCGGTAAATTTTAAAAGTTACTCCAAAATTCGCTTGAAGATGAAATGGAACTAATGCTTTTAATTTATTTGCAAAAAATAAAATTAGGGTTTTAGCTTCTATTTTTGAAACATGGTTGGAACTGTGTAGCGAAAATAACCATATTTTAAATCAATTAATTTATAATATTAATGCTCTGTAAATTTACATTGAGCACTATTTTGTAAAAATAAAATATCTATAAGAACACCGGATTTTTATATCTTACTGTTCTTTCTTTTTTATTATATATATATATATATATATATATATATATATATATATATATATATATATATATATATATATTAAGAAATGGACAAGGTCCGACAATTTATTTATTAAAGACATTTTTATGTTTAACGTTGTTTTTTATAGATACAAGTATTTAAGTAAATGCTCTGTTTATGATAAACAGTATTAAATAACATTTACCGGCCTGAATGTCCGAGAAATTTTCATAGAAAATATTCGTTCTTTGAATATATATATACATACAGATAGATAGATAGATAGATAGATAGATAGATAGATAGATATGTAGCGGGAGGTTGATTTTTACATCATTACGCTGAACGGTAAAAGTATCCAGTGTATCTCAGTGAACTGAGACTTTGCCATAACTACTTGTCATTATTATCGCGTTTATCGTTATTCTCACCATTCAACCGTTGTCACCCGGTCTTCATCAGGTGCTTGCCGATCTGGGCAACCTTCGAACTGAACACTTTATTTAGGGTAGAGTTGGTAGAAAAAGGGCAAATAATAATTAATCAGTACTAAATAAGAAAAAGACCTATGGCATAGGGAGCTAAATTAGTGCAATCTACCGCGGAGGGGATTAAATAAAGAGCTCTGTTCGAAATTTCCCGAAGGTTACTTGATCGACAACCCCCTGATGTAGACCTAAAATTGTAATGGCCGAAATATGAGGACAATAGTTCGAGTTTAAATAATTTAATTAAAATAAAATTTACTTATTCATTGTAATTGATTTCGGTTATTTATAAATAAATATCAGATCAAATAACCGATAAATTTTCATTTTGGAAGACTGTTTTAATCTGCTTTTCATTTTAATTTTAATCCGCTTTTAATTTTAACTCAGTTACCATTATGGTGAGTGGCCCTACTGTTGAAAGAATACAAAAGTGACGATGCAATATTTCTCGACTTGTCATTCTCTTTATGCATAAAAATGATTCAGCTGAAATTGCCATTATAATATCATATTACTAGTGCTATTGGATAACGACTTATTTGCTGAGCAAGCTATAATCTCCGTGGTTTAATATATTTGTCAAAATAACGAATTAATGTTAATTGAGCAATCTACGAAAACTCTGAAGTCACCGCCATCTTGATGGTTTCCTGATAGTCTTCAATTTAAGTATATTAATCTTCAATCATTCTAAAACATGACACGATCAAAACGGTTGGATTAAATAGTTCCTTTGTTTGTCAAGCCGAGATGAAAGAAAACCTCAACGTTTAATTCACAAATCTGTCACAGCTGAAAGCATTATTCATGATCAAAAGATTGTCTCTCATAATCTTCACGTGTTGACACTAGCATACCATGATATTATAATGACTTTGGCAAAACAATTTGCTATGTTCGTTGTAAATCACTTGATCCAACTGAACTCTTTATCAAACTACTACAGAAAAGGCATTTTACACTACAAATGCAAACTATACTCATTTTGAAACATTGATCTGAATCTTTATTCAACAGGTTTTCAAATATTCTTATTCATCTATGTTGCGTGTCCCTTCAGAACTTTTTTTTGGCTTTATTACTTTTTTCGCTTGTTCAAACATTACAAGGCCCAAGAGCCACTCAAGGTACAGAGTTACTGTATGGAGTTATATTAGCGGAGGAAAGGACAAGCGTTAGGAATATAAAACTAAATCAGACTTTAGAAGGGACTGGAAACCCAATCTTAAACAGAAAAAACGTGAGAAATCTCTACTCTTGTTCAAAAGTCCAGTGAGGAAATTGAACCGCAAAATACGCGAACCCATCTACTTCTATTGGTGGAGGAAAGAAAAATAAAATGAAATAAATAAATAATTAGAGAATAAACTTTCAGAGTTCAGCCGCAGACATTAGCAGTACAGAACTGAAACAGACTTTAGAAGGAACCGGAAACCGAATCGAAAACAGAGAACAAGGTATAATCCTCTACGCCTTTTCCAAAAATCAGAGAGAAGTGGGAACCGGACAATTTTGGGGCGATAATGTCTCTCTACAACATCCTATCCTTTTTAGTAATGTTTACCGTTATCTATAATTCCAACTCCCTGATTAGTTTTAATTGCGTTTAGATCGCAAATGGAAAAGACGTCCGTTATTTTTCACACAAACATGGCAGCGAAACCAGCACCCAACAGTTTTGAAATGTCTTACAACTGTCAGATGAGATATATGGAGTATCACTGCGATGTCCCGTGTCATATGGTCTGAATTATTTCAGCGTTTCAATTCGGCCATCATCAACGACAGCAGGCTAGTCGGAGAATTCGTCAAAATTTTCACAACTGATCTTCGCAAACAATTTACAAGCCGTACTCTCAGCTATGGCCTCATCTCCATAACCGGTAAACATTTTTGTTTCTTTATGCAGTTTTGTTTTTCCTTTCAGGAAATCAAAGAGAATCAAATACAATTCATTTTCTTCCATATTCACTTTTAAGGTAATAACATTTAAAATTCACAATCCATACATGAATTGCAGAGCAAGATGCGTTGAAATATAACCATTCAGAGTATGTATATATCATAATAGCAGTAGAGCCCGGCGTTGCCCGGGGATGTAACAGTAGATCAAGTATCGACCATCATAAAGACTGAATAATAAAATTGACAAAGATTATTGTTTAAAGTTGACGGACACGCATGTCTTAATCAGTTTTTTTTTTTTTTTTACGAATTGGTCAAACCCAAAATCAAACAAAAACATTGTTTTCAATCGTTATGAGTCTACCGATTGAATAGAATTTTATTATAAACAATTGTCTTGTAAATGGAATTTTTAAAGCATTCTGAATGTAAAAATAAAGAAAAAAGTGTGCAAGACAATAAGAAACACTACCTGCTAAAAGAAAGTGAAGTTTTGTTTGAAAAATTGGTTGAAAAATATACGAAATCCAATCCCATATATAAACGAACACACACACACATAAACAACCTGGGTTTTATAAGTATAACGCGATATGAGTTGGTCCCCTTTCATTCTCGCTATTAATCGTGTTTTCAAATTGATTTTGTGCAAAAACAATTGTGTTTTTCCAATTTTTAGTGCTGTTAAAACCACCGCAAGGTAATTTTACGTAGTCCTGTGAAGTTTTGTTGAAATCGGTTGAAAAATTTAGGAAATCCGATCCAGTATATAAACGCACACACACACACACACGCACAATCTGCGTTTTATAATAAGTAAGATATATTGCAATCACGTGTGAAATGAAATCATGTCTTCAACTGCCACCTATTGTAAAATGACCCCAAATCTTATTCCGACGCAATATATATTCATAAACGGTAACGTAATCACTTTTGGCGATTCAATAGTCATAAGACAGTAATAAAACCATGGGAAAAATAAATCCTAAACTACATGCATCCGCCGATCCAATCCTCTAATTTCCTTGGGTCCAAGGCTCGTTTATACGTCCTGGATAATCAGTGGAACCATCTGTAACTGTTGGAATCTTGTTTTTTGTTTTACAGACATAGTATCCTCATCCCTTGTCTAACCATCATCGTACAGCTTCATGTGGCTGTGTTTTGAATACAGTTTTTCTCCTAGAACGTTTGCTAATCACGACTAGAGAGCCCAATCTGCACTACTATTTAATCCATAGTTGGAGAGATTAGAGATATTATACGAAAGTTAGTGCAACGAACTCAATCAGAATTTGAACGACCTGTACCCATCCTAAAAATGTTGCTCTTGAGTGTATAATCTGGAAAGCAGAAATGTCATGTGATTTGGTTTTCAAACATAATTATGGCGATATCAATTTATTTTACTGATTCACAAATATAGTATAGAGCATTGGTATAGTAATTGTTTTTAGAAATTACTCATATCACACAAAGTATTTTTAATGACATGTACCTCCAGGGTGTAAGCGATCATAACACTCCGCAAGTTCCGTTCTATTATTTTCTGTTAATTGCCAAGCATTATTTGGGAAAGAGTGGTTTCCCATGTCTTTTCTATTTTTTTGGAATTCAGTGTTTTCCTTCTCTTAGACTAATTGCCCAAAACTAGAGAACCCTATCTAACTTGCTATTTAATCCATAGTTTGGGGAGAAGAGACAGATTCGTGACTTTCCCATGGGGATTTGCGTGAAATTGAACGCAATAGGTTAGCATGGGATTTGAAAGCGACTCGTTGATTTCACTTTCCACTAAGATATCTGTTACATATCCCTGTAAAGTATACTAATTTTTTTTTATCATTTTACTCCAAGTTTGGCGATATTGTCACTAAGGCGCTAGGAGTTACTGAGAGTGAAATAAAATGTTAAAAAAACGTTAGTAAGGAAGAAGGAACAAAAAAGGAACAGAAATTATGAAGACAGAACATGATTGACATTGCATTTACATTTTGGAAGATCAAAGTTGACTGAAAAGTAAGAAGCCGGAAGAGAGTTCCAGAAGCGGGAGGTGCAAGAGAAGAAAATGTTAGCATAGAACTCATGGTTATATCTAGACATTTTAATGGTAATATGATGAGACCTTACCATCAACCTAGTACTGCGCTTAAATTCATAAAGTCTAGGTACCATAGCTGACAGTTCATCAAAACTATTTCCATGAAAATATAGAAAAAGCAAAGAGAAGTTATGTTACGACAGTGGAAAAGTGACTGAAACTTAGTTGCAATGACACGATCAATGTCTTTACCAATTCTCTTTTTGGATTACGAAAGATCTTTGTGCTATAATATTTCGATACCAATGGATTATCGCAATAGTTAGAAAAATACATTAAGTTAAAATATTAAATTTTATCTTGTAATTGTTTGCTATGTCATTAGTGACTTTGTACGTTTTAGGTGTGGTCTTCTTATGTTTAAGCATATTATTTGAAAATATGGAGTTTTAAGAATGACATTTGCTGTCAGGCCGATTGTCTATATCACGCTAGATTACCTGTCATGTTCTAATATTTCTATACTGTCATTTTTAATACCCCCACCCCGAAACATTATAAGATAACAGGAAGCGTAATTTTCCTTCTTCAATGAATTGCTTTAGAAAAAATGAGAAGAAAAAGGAAAAAAAAAAAGGAAAAGACTATCTCAATATTTGATCTTTCCACAGCATAAACTTGAGAAATAGTTGCCCATTTTGACATTCTATACCCTCTGATATAAAACTTATCTATTTAATACTTGGTTTAAGCTGGTCTCTAAAGGCCTAATTCTTTGGAAAATACAGATTATATTGAAATATAGCTGTTAACCTATATTTTGTAGGTCGTTTTTCTTCTATCAGATATCTAAAATAATTTATCGGATGGGACTTTTTCGAGTCATGTGAATGCTTCGTAT